TGGTTCTAAGCCAGCCACAGGCGAATTAGTTCACAAGACCCTGTGTTGAAAATACTCAACACAAAAAAGGGTTGAAGGAGTGAAGTGTGACGCCCCGAGTTCAAACCTCAGTGTTGCCAAAAAAAAAAAAAAAAAAAAGACATACCCAGAACTCAGACGTGCATGCACGTGTGTGTGTGTGTGAGAACACCTTAGAATGGTTGTGCAGGTATTTTTTTCAATCCCACATAAACAACTTTTGACTTACTAGGAATATTTCCCAGATGAGCAACAGCTCATCTGCTCATCTTAGTTTTCAGGGATGTCATGCATGTTCATCATTTTCATTTTTATACAGATATTTAATGAGAAGGCAAGAGTGAGTGATTCAGTGGCAGCAGGATGTTATATTAAATCTGATGACAGTTGGGAATTACAGTTTTCATTTTCCTTGGAGTCTTTCTCCTCTCCAATAACTCACTCCTTCCTGTAGTTGTCTGGTGATACATATGCAAAACAAGTAGTAAAACTAACTAGATACAACCCAAATTCAAATAGCAATTTATGGTGTTACTCTCAGACTTGTGGAAAGCCCAGTATGTGTTTCAGTAAGTATGTGGTACTAAAAACTCAACCTGAAATTGATTCCCAGGATTTTGACTCATTGAACAAATGATCAAGCCACCTAGGTGCTAGGTGCTAATTTGGATACAGGGTACAACAAGAATCAAGCCAATAAAAGTCACTGCCCTTATGAAGAGTTCGTTCTAGTGGGGGAAGCCACCAATGTATAAGTAAACAGATGTGAGAAAGTGTATCATCACATTTCATCGTATCTTTGAGCTGTGGTGAAGTCCCCAAATCCCCGTGACTTAACACTACAAACATCACTTCTTGCTCATGTAAAATATAGAGATGACGGATGGCTTTGGCCCAGCCCCACATGCCTTATGGCTCCAAACCCCAGTCTCAAGGAGCAACCTCTAAATCTTGCACATGGCACTCTCCTGGCAGAGGAAAAGGAGAGTCATTGATTGCCATTGGAAAGCTTCTGCTCAGACCTGGTGCTCTTCAGGTGCACTTAGGACCCAATGGTGAAAGCAGGGTTCAGGATGGGATGCTGTATCCTTTGTAGGAAAGAGTGGCTGGGAATCATATAAACAACTACGAGGTTTATTGATATAGTGAAAATAAAGCAGAAGCAGATAAGGAGAGCCAGCTATGTGGATGCAGTGGGGGTGGAAGGATGTAACAGGGAAATTGACAGGTGTAGGAGGCATTTATGGGTTATGCTGTGCTATTAAGATTGTGAATGACTGCTACTTACCAAAGACCCCTTTCCTCATCATCTGGGGCACACACTATTTCCAGCCACTGTCACAGTGAGGAGCCATGAGACTGAATGCAACGGTGGTGTGGAGTAAGCCACACCACCTGGAATCAAAGGATCCCCAAGGCCCTAGGAGATGGTAGAGCCACAAAAGGGAAGGAGCCTGGCCCCCAAATCACCAGAGGGAAGAGGGATATCTGCTTTGGATTGTGAGCAAGAAATAAGCTGCTACTGTGAATGGAACATAGCATGCTTTGTGTCTACCACTAATGGCAGGCTAGAATGTCTTAATCTGTCATATTTCCTCCAAAAGTACCCTTACTTGACAGATGCCTTATTTACAGCACAAGAGGAAAACTTGGGGCGGAGTTGAGGGATACGCTCAGAATTTCCAATTCCAAAACCCAGTCTAGCTTGCTATGTTAACAGTGATGCAACTGCTAAAAGTGTGACAAGGGCTGATTAGGGCAAGTAAGGTCGTGCTCTTACAACATAGGTAAACTACTAAGTCAAAAACTGGGATTTTATGAAATATGGAAACCCACCTGGTAGTGACAGAATTTATGGTGATGCTGACTGAAGTGGTCTCTCTCTTGGGAGGGAGTGTCTTGGGAACATGGAGCACAGGGTATTTGGCAAATACGAATCTTGAGGGGCTTTTTCAAGTTTATGTAAGAGGACTGCACATGTGAACAAAAAATGAAAAGAAATCCTCTTTTCTGAAAGGCAAATACATTTAAGAGTTAATAACTGGAATAACCAAATTGAGAGAGTAGTGATGACTTTAAAACAAACAAGCATTGTACCTGGGAGGAATATGCCAGGTGTGAGGTGAAAAGTAGAGGGTGGAATGTGGTCAGGTGGTGTTCCCCAACTGCTCCTTCCAAAAACGGATTCCACCATAAGATGTCATGTTTTTGAAACACCTGTATTTTCATTCAGTGGGATGGAAGATCTGCTGCACTGCAATTTATCCTGTTTCTTCAATAGTATTTGCTGACAAAAGAGTGAGTTTATGCATTACACCATGTCATTTTGTATCTATTACTTCAACTTTGTCTCCTTTTATACTAATTCATTATGGTAAAATATACATGAAATTTACTAGTTTAACTATGTAATTAATATTATACATATTCACAATGTTGTACAGCCATTGCCACTGTCCATATCCTGAACTTTTTCATTAACCCATACTAAAACTCTGTACCCACTACACAGTACCTCTCTCCATTTCTTCCTCTCCATAGCATCCCAGTACCCCCTACTATGAATTTGGCTACAAATCTCAACCAAGTGAATTCAGACAGTATTTGTCCTTGCATCTGGCTTAATTTCATTTATGTTGCAGATGTATCAGAATGCCATTCCTTTTAAAGACTGAATAATATTCCATTGTATGCTTATACTAGTCTATTCATTTGTAGATGGACATTTACATTTACCATCTAATAGTGCACTCAGCATTGGTGTACAAGCATCTGTTGAGTCCCTGCTTCTAATTCTTTGGAGTATATACCCAGTGGAATCGATGTATCATATGTAATTCACTCTGTTTTCCACAGTAGCTGCATCATTTTACATTCCCTCCAGAAATGCACAAGGGTTGCAATTTCTCTATATCCTCATCAATACTTATTTTTCCTTTAAAATATATGTGTGTGTATTATATATTTGATTGTAATCCCAGCACTTGGGAGGCTGAGCCAGGAAGATTGCAAGTTTGAGGTCAGCCTAGGCTATACAGTGAGACCAAGGTCTGAGGATGTATCTCAAGTGGTAGAACACTTGCCTAGCATGTGTAAGGCCCTGTGTTTGATTCCCACTATCAATGGGGCAAAGAAACTTCTAAGAAGTTACCTAAATGTTCATAGTTAATGTACTGAAATTCCGAAATACCAGGGAAGTTGGGGAAAGAAAACTGCCTTGGATTCCAAAGGTAAGCACCTGTGGGTCAGCCTGTAGAAAGTCTCATAAACCTACTTCATTTACTCAGCCAGCTGCAAGTACAATTCCAGCTACAGCTTGAATAACCAGTGCTTTTCCTTCTATATACACAAGTTCACCCATTAATGTAATGCAGTGAAGATAAATAAAATCAAACCTGAGGTTTTCATATTAATTGCTGTGGTCATTTAACTTTATTTGAAAATATGAAAATTGCAAAACATAGTATTTATACAAACACCTGAGGAATGTTCAACTGGGCACAGCATCTTCATACAAACAATTTGAAAGAAGAACAAGTTTTAGTAAGAATCTATTTTATAAGGAATAACAGATGAAGCAATCCTTTAAATAGCTGCATTCTTATCTTAAGTACATTCAATCCTCTCGAAGAAAATGTACATTCTTGCCCTGATGAACATTTTATTGGCATTTAGAACAAATGGCTAATTCTTTTATAATTGATTCTTATAGCTTATAAACATTAAACCAGTTATACAATGTTAACAACAATAAACATTTAGCACCATTTCATCTTAAAAGTTCTAACTTACAAAATAAAGCCCAACACAGCAAGTCTTATCTTTCAAAATGTAGCAGAATAAATGGCTCAGAACTAAGCAAATTAATTAGAAACATTGCATAGGAAGGAGAATGTTCCTGTATGGAAACCAATCCATGGATTGTTTCTTACCACCTGAAGAATAAGTTGAGAGGTACTGGTGATATCAAATGATGTACATTTTTTTATGGTATAAAAACACTAATTCATCATAACCTCTGTGGTAGTGCAAAGTGCCATATTAAGTTCAAAAAGAAAACAATTACTTGTGAATAGCTACAGATATAGAATAGTATAATATGGTAAAGTATTTGTATGAGGAATAGACTTGTACAATAAAATATCTTTTAAAAATTTGGATACAGGTATGTTGATACAGAGATGTGAGAAATGGATGCCTAATGTCCAAGCTTAGCAAAAATATAGTTTTAAAATAGGTATTCTACTGAAAAAATTTAATCAGATTCCATTCAAACTATTCTTGTAGTATAACATCTTCTACACAAAGTGATCATTCTATCCTATTTTTAAAAAATTATCAACTGGTAAGAACACTTTATGAAAGCTTTTAAGCTTGTTTTTTTTCGTTTAAATATGAACAAATACAACACTGAGGGCACAAATGATAGAAGGGAAAGAAATTTATATGGCTATTTCCTTTCTAGAAAATAGAACAGACAGTACACACTGTAAAATCAGATAAAATATTTAAGAAAGAGATGATAGTTATATAGGTGCATCTTTAAATTCTCTTCTGAGGAAGAATTCTCATGGATTTTTGATATTTTCCCCTTTGGGATTTAGCTGTTTTGGTTCTAGATATAGAGATTAACTTAAATCAAAGGTTTTTCTCTGTTAACTGCATGAAGGATATTTGTAAATTATACAATGAAAATAATAAGACACAAAGAACAAACTGCCAATTTAAATATTACAGTACTAACATGTTAAATGGTTTTTAAAGAAGTAGACTGGACTGCTAATGTGGTTCTACAATCCTGATAAAGACATTTTTATAGGAACCTTCTATGAAACAAAAATTGCTGAGAAAATTATTTCTAAATTGAAATGTTTTTAGTACACCTGAGAATTATGCCTAATCTAAACTTGCACATTTTCAATTGTATTTTCTTTCTTTAAGTTTTTCAATGTAGTAACAGAGTTTTAATGCTGGCCCCAGCTTCAGCCCATATACTTCATCATCATATCACTCTTGAGTAGAAGCAGAGCCTTTCCATCAATTTCCTACAGAGAGAAGAAAATGATAATAATTAATACTTCCATATTTTTTCCATTTATAAAATAGAGAACAGCTGTACATTCCAGATATATTCTCTGAGTATGCATTTATCTCATGAAAACTACTAAAAATAGAATTTGTATGATGAAGCATCAATTTGGTGATTTCTAAATTTACTTCAAAATTTGAGAAAAAGGAAGCTTATCCTAGTATATTTAATAAATAACCTAAGCATCAAACTGTATGATTTTAAATTCTGTGGGTTAAGTAAAATAATACACATCTGTGACAAAGGGTCAAAAACTGTAAACGGTAGAAATGAATTTCAGACATTGTTAATTTTCTGAGAAAGGTCGAGAGTATGTCAACATCGATGTAAACTGTAAACGTGCTCTACAAGGTAGGTCATCTTTATGCTGAAAGTGAATCAATTAGTTGTCTAAAGCTAGTTAGATGCTAAAACTACTGATTTTCTTACAATATTAAAAAGGGTACATTAGATATTAGAACATAAAACATGAAAATATACTTAATAAGTCACAGGGCATCCTCCTAAAATTTTTTATTACCTTAATCAACCAATTTATGCTATAGAAGTCTAACATTTGGTATTCATGAATTCCTGTTTAAAATAAAGATACACTTAATTTTACACAGTTGTTAGATTCACTGGGTACTCTAACAAGGCCATCCTGGTACATACTGTGGTCACCCTCTCCTACTCATAGTCCTAGGGCCAAGCAGGGAGCCAGGTAAGTTGGGGGAGGATCCTTGTATCTTTCATTACAAAAAGGGTCAAATGCCTGAGAGTGGTGGATTCTGAAACACCATCTCTTGAGAACTTGAGGCTGTTTAGTGTTTTAAGAACCAACCTGGACACCCATTTAAAGAGCAGACCATTAACCTATCTACAGTTCTAATGTTGGGCAAAATAACCTTTTTCACAAATAGAAAAATCAGTTGATAAGGTTCCCCCACCATTCACACAACTCAGAATCCAATTGAAAGGCCTGCACAGGAAAACTGGATCAAAAGATACATTACATGTTGCCTGAAGAGGTCGGCGAGGGGGCCTGATATCTGAGGATCTGTATGTTTCATAAACTGTATCACTTCATCCACAGACCAGGTTGAAGGGTCCTTAGAGAAGCCTTGTTTCAGGACACTGGGGTCAGGTACAGCTATATAACTTGGATCTTCAATGGGGGGGGGGAAAAAAAACAAATCATAGTTGACCTGATCATTATCCTGAAAGAAGAGATGTTAGGTAGGGAATAATGGTGTCATTCCTGGAACCTGTTCTTAAGTACCCAAGCAAGGACTCAAGAGGCCAACTGTAAAATCTAGTGAAATCCTGAATAAAGATGATCTGAGAAGAGATGCTTCAGAGTATTCCATGTGACCTCCCCCAAATAGCAGGAGGAGCTTCAGAAGATACCTTAAAGGTTCAAAGATCATGAAAGATGAAACAACCCAAAACCTCTTCGGCACAGACAAGTACAGGAAAAGATCTGTTACTTGGATTAAATTAGGTTCATTTAACTTAACCCATTGCTCTTGTACTTTAAGGGTTTCGTTGTTCTCCCAATCTCTTTTAATCTTTCCTTGTCTAAATTAGGTTTATTTTACTGAACACAATGGAAATTACCCAAATGTACAGGTCTGTAATTTCTCAAATTTGCTCACTTTTCTGTGGTGCTGGGGGTGGAACTCAGGGCCTTGTGCATGCTGGGCAAGCACTGTACCACTCTGAGCTATCCCCAGCCTTGAAATTATCCCATTATCTTAGAGAACCAAATTAATACTTTTACCAAATCTCTCTTGTGTATTCAATATGGTTATTTTTGGCACCATTTTTATTCTTTAGATTCCCATCTCTCATGGCTTAAAGGTTTATCTGAATTGTAAAGAAAACAGAAATATTTTTGCTGAGCTAGGTAAGAAGTAACTTTAACATCAAATTTCATTAATTAATTTTAGATGCTTTGATTAAAAGGGTTATATATTTAATAAGGAACTAAGTAAGACATGAAACAATTTAGGTACTCATACCTCAACTGGTTTTAACTGTGCCGTCCAGTAAGTTCTGAAATTTGTGTTCTGACAAGTACTTATTAACGTAAGCAGAGTGTTTGACTCCCTAAAGTTAGTGTGTGATGATAACTGAAGGGGGCTTTATAATTTGCTAGGAAGATTTGTATCTCTAACCGAAGACCATCAACAGAAATTTGATGTTTTTGTGTTTGAACTAGCCAAAGACATACCCTTTCTTTGCTATCATTTGGGTTATGGTCATTTTAGGAGCATTTTGAGTATTTACCCAGGGAAAGGGCAATGAAAACTAGAAGATACAAGAAATAATAATATTTTTCCATGCATAATTCTGAATTTTCTTTCCAACATCACAACTTTAATGTGAAATAAAATCTCTATACTAAAATATATCCTACCCTCTACTTGTCAAAGAAAAAAGAGTCAGAGTAAATAAATTTTGTGGGCTGTATCAACTCAGGTAAAAATGATGATGGTGTAGACCATGCTTTGCCCCTGATATTCTGACAATTTAGACTGACCGACCATCTCCTTTAACTGAACAATGACAAAATTTAGTATTCAAAAAATTATTAGCAAGGCTAATCATGCCTATAAATTCACTTACATTTTATGGGGTTTCTGTCATCAGAATCTAGTATGTTCATGTCCTAACATGCAAATAGTTTTATAGATTACTGCACACAAAAAGATAGTTTCTGGCATGAAAATAATTTTGTGTTAAAAATAAAACAAATATTAAGAGGTTCTGTTTTTAGTCTGTTATGGAAAAATAATTTGGTTGGCCTATATCTTCAGAACAGTAAGAGACGGTTGCAACCATTACATTACTGCTATTCAAATAATTGTATGAAAAAAACTAATCATGATAAAAACCAGAATCCAGTCATGCTTTTCTCCTGAATGGTCTGTGTTATATACACTGGGATATCAGTATTTCTGAAACAAATGTAATGAAAAATGATTTGATTTCTTCCAGTATTACTAGATTTCTTTCATATAATAGAGATCAAGAATTTTTTCATTCAAATAACAGGGTAGGGTATGATAGAAGGTTATGTGAGCATCACTGTCTATCAGGGGTGAACTCAGCTTTAATTAATAGTCGTAGTGCCTTACAGAAAATAATAAGCTGGATTTGGTTCATGACTATAATTCTAGCTACTCAAGAGGCAGAAATCAGGAGGATGTTGGTTCAAAGTCAGCTGGGCCAAAAAGTTCACGAAACTCTATCTCGAAAATATCCCATACAAAAAAGGACTGGCAGAGTGGCTCAAGTGGCAGAACACCTGCCTGTCAAGCATGAGGCCCTGAGTTGAAGTCCAAAGACCACAAAAAAGCAGAAAACAACATAGTGCATCTCTAGACAGTTTCAAAGTGAAATTCTCCCTTGATCTCTAGAGATGCAGGCAGCACAGCAGTTAAGAGTATGGCCCTGGAGTCACAGTGTCTGTGTTTTAAGTATTAGCCCAGTCACTTACAGCTGAGGGACCTAAACCAAATTACTTCTGAGATTTTTCACCTGAAAATGTTACCAGCACATACATCTCAAGGAATTCTTAAAAACTGTATTATGTATGAGGTCATATAAAATATGTCGCAGAGTAAAGAAGATGATGATGCTTTCTATTATTACTTACTAATTAATTTCATTACTATTAGTCTTTCTACACCTAAGAAGACTAGAAGCTAGACTTTTGAAGCCCAATACAGTGTACTTTAGCGTAACATCTGTGAGATATTCAGCATTAGAAGTGAACTTTTAGAATCTTTTACTAAAGAGATGGTCTTTCTTCAAAAGCTCATACTTTCTCAAAATACTTAAAATTACCATTCCATATTACCCCTTATAGAAAAAAAAACACCTATCTTTACACTCTCTTCAAAGCAGAGACAATCTTCAAAATAGGAGGGGAGACAGAAGTACCAACATCAAATGTGTCACTGCATGTGCATAATGTGCATAATGAGGCTGCCCATATATAATAGCCATGATAAAAGACAAGAAGGTTACTCCATTCATTCCTCAACCTAGCCTAGATGCTTACCCTGAAGAAAAAAGGATAGAACACTTATTCCCACCTTCACTCTGCTGCACTCTTAATCCTTAAAAGGCTAAGGGGTAGTAGTTATCTTTGCACATGGAAGGCTGTTCTAGCTTTTTCTAAATGGAAATAAGATGCTGCCCTGTTTACACATGCCACTTCCTCCCTGTGAGTCTGAGGGAAGTACAGATGATGTGGTGCAGGTATAGCAACAGGATTCCAGAGCCCTGATCCAGGAGCCACATAGAAGCTAGGGCCAGGAAAGGTCTCTAGAGAGACGAGAGTACATCAGAAGGGAAAAATGTGTTCTAGGTCTCAGAATCATCAGAGTACCTAAATACTCTGTACTTAGTTTTCTAAGTATGCAAGGAAATGACAAATTACAATTTCTTCAGAACCACTAATCTGATAGAAGCTTCTAACAGAGACATGGTTGGTGATCCAGATATCCAGAGATAGTTCTGTGACTGAAGCATCCATATTGGTTTGGCCCTGATAGAGATATGAAGGGGAGAACCTGGTTTCCCCAATTTTGGCAGTTTTTCAAACACAATACACTCTTAAGGGATGCTGTTGGGTGTGAAAGACTCAAAGGGAAAGATAAGAATACTGCTTGAGGATCATTGTTTTTGAATATACCTTCACTTTTCTTCTGGATTTGTAATATAGGGTCATAGTAACTGCTCTTGGTAGGTGATTTGTTCCCATCAGAGGCTGAACTTGAAGTGCTTGACACAATTTCAGGGAAATTCTTGGAGAATGATGTATGCGTAAGATTTCCACTGACAGGATTTAAACAATCTCCCAGTGTTGAACTTCTGGAATCTTCAGAAAAATTTTCTTCTTTGGGTATGACATGTTTCTCAGGAGAAACTGATTCTTCTACAAGGAAAAAGACAAATGGAGGTTATCTTCAAATATTATTAAAAGGTCAAGAATGTCATTTCCAACAACAGTTCACTTAATTCATGCCGTACTTGAACCACAAACTTCTAATGCAAAGTACCCGGTCATCCCCTCCTCATCATATATAGTAATGTGCACTCTCTTGAAATCCAGAGTAATTCTATGACATCACCTGTATTTCTCATGGCAATTTCCTATCTCTTGCCAGTCTTGCCACCAAGACTGTGAATACCTCACAAAAGCATTTGTTCTGGGCTGGTGGCATGACTTATGTGGTAGAGCCCTTGCCTAGCATGCACAAGGCCCTGGGTTCAATCCCCACTACCAAAGGAATAAAAAAGGCATTTGTTTTTAGGAATGTAGTTATTCACAGCTACTTGTGAGAATATGTCCATTCCATTTGTTTTTAACATTTGCTTACTATCTGAGCAACTAACAATTTCACTGGAGAAACTTAGTGTTTATCTATTCCTTTATTAGTTTTTAGCAATATAAAGCTGAATGGAATTTTTTTAACCTGTGTGCTTCTGAAAGGAATGCAATGGTCAAGCTGTCAAAGTGATAGCCTAATTGCCAAACTTACTTGGACAAAAATATACCTTCTTACCTACCCTAAAGAGTATATATAAGTGGTAGCAGAGGAACTTTCCTTTCCCAATCCTGGGACAAGTAAATGTTATTTACCTTTAGAGGCATGCATCATTATTTTGGGCAGCTTAGGAGAGACAGGAACAGAACAAGGTATAGATTGCTCAGGAGATCGTTTGATGCTTTGCTGTTCAGTTATTTCCTCTTTCACTGTTTAAAAAAGTATGTGTTATAATTACTATTCTATATTCAAGTATTTTTGTATCATTATTAAACATTTGTTTCTAAATAATTTTCATACTATAACTTCAACATAGCCAATTATCTGATTATTCACGAGCATGTGTTTACTGCATCCTATCAAGTATTTCTACTAAAGTAATAATCCAAAGTACTTCCAGAAGGAGTACGTTTAAACTTCATTTATTCTGGAATCATCAGATCTCTCTAAATATCTCAGAAGACATTGAAGCAACTCAATATAGGGTCTAAAAAGACCTGAGATAAATTGATCCCACGAGCAAGAGGAGGTAAGAGTTAAAGGAAGTAGCACAGTGAACATGAACATTCTCTTTTTAGACAATCCAGCCTAAGGCTACCCTTTCAACAACTCTACTGCTTACTTATCACTCAACCAAATGCACTTGTAACTTTAAGGACTACTCTTTTAACCATGATTCTGAAAGTAAAGATATACTGTCAATTACAAGCTAAGTAATTTCAGATCCCGTATCTGAAATCCTTGGCCCAGAAGTGAAACTATTTTGGAATATTTCCATAGACTTTACTAGCTGAACATCCCAAATCCAAAAATCTGAAATGCAAAATGCTTTGAAATCTATAACTTTTTGAGCACTGACATGATACACTATGTCAATACTCAAAAAGTTTCAGATTTTTTATTAGGGCTATTCAACCTACATACCCTAAAAGGATCAATCAGTATCTTGTTTCAACCTTCAACTAAAAGGACAAATAAAGTGTAACATAAATCTAAAAACGATGACATTAGAATTCAAAGGGGAAGAAAAATTATAATGGAAGTAGTGCCAAAGTCAAACTTCATCTGATTCAAAATTTTGACTGGGGACTAGCAATGTCTCTCAAAATCATATGATGAACCACCTCTAGCAATCTAGTTCCTGACTAATTACCAGTGAGTCCAACAGAGCTCTCACCATTTGAATTTTATTTTTAATGACAGACTAGAAAATCAACATGCAAAATGTATTTCATTGCTTGATAAGCAATGCAATTTGTACAATTAAGAAATTTAAATTCTAAGGAAAGAGGGTTGGAGATATAGTCTACTGGCAGAGTACCTGCCTAGCATCCATGAAGTCTTGGGTTCAACACCCAGCACTACAGAGAAAAATTTATGAACTAAATTCTAAGAAAAAGAAATAATTGGATTTTTCATATTCATTTAATGATATAGTACTAAAGTAGTTTTCTATAGATATCTTACTTCTTAATCTCAGAACGATTATAAAGTCTCTACTTATTTTTATTTATAATGTACTGATGGTTTCTTTGTGAAAGTTTATGAAAATGGTCTGTGGTCTACTATTTGGGGTTGGAACAAACATAAAATTGACTCTTTTTCTGGGTACTATAGTAAGCTAAAGCAAGAAACAAAGTGTTCAGGGATAAGTAGGGATACAGGGATAAGTAGGAACAGCCCTATAATTTACATTTCTATGGTAGCCTTGTGTGAATATTAGCAGTCACTAGAGCGGGCACATGGGTTTGGGGCTTATTAAAAACCCCAATCCCAGAGGATCATCACAACCCTTAGAACTTTCTCAGGGTTTGTTTCTATTTGACTTCAATCAGAGCCTACTCTATGTGAACCACCCTATGATAGAGCATCTTCCGGGGGTATAAAACAGTGGCAAACGTTTAACTTTGCAGCTGCATGAGGCAGTATTACTAACTGGAGCTAAGAAGATGCTGACCAAAAAGCGTAAGAGGGAAATTTGGCTAGTAAGATACACATTAGGGGACTTAAAGAAGAATGAACCTAGAAGGCCACATGCTTGTGCAGGTCTGTATACATGCCCAAAAGACTTGAGAAGGCCCTCATCTTTCATGGCTGACCTTGAGGCTCTACAGAAGCAGACTTAACAAACTGCCTCTTGGAGTGTTGAAATTATGACCCAATACATATAGAGAATCCCTTGGCGCAAGGCTTGGAGACACACTGATTCCAAGCATTTAAGGAAATCCCCATCCAATCATTAGCTGACCACTCAGCTAATGGAGCGGATTTCAATACCTACATATGACAAAGAATACAACCTTCATAGAATTAGTCCAGGAAAATCACTAAATAAACAGTAGCACCAACAATGACAACAAACTCTAAGGAGGAAGAGGGAATCTGATGCCCACGGTTGCCAGATTATTTTAACATGTTCAGTTTTCAACAAAAAAAATTTATGAGACATGCAAAGAATAGGAAAGCATGGACCACACATAAGAAAAAAAATCAATAGAAACTGTTTCTAAGAAAGACTAGTCATTGGATCTACTAGACAAAAGACTTTTAACTACTGTAAGTACATTCAAAGAACTAAAAAGTTATGTCTAAAAAAAAAAGTATAAGAACATCTCACCAAATAGAGAATATCAATAGACCAAAATTATAACACAAAAAATAGAAATTCAAGAGTTGAAATACAGTAAATCTTTTCACAATAAGCAAATGTGAATTGGCAGAAGATCAACAAATTTAAAGAAAGGTTAATTGAGATTATACATTCTGAAGAATAGAAAGAAAAAGGAATGAGGAAAAACAAATATGTCCTCAGAGACCTATGGGGACATCATCAACACATACCAAAACAGACAACATGGAAGAAATCTCTAGGCTGGGCATGGTGGCCCACACCTGTAATCCCAGTGACTCAGGAGGTGAAGACAGGAGCTCAAGGCCAGCTCAGGTAGTATTATGGGAGACTATATCTCAAAAACAAAAACAGAAGAGCTCGGGGTGCAGCACTTTCCTAACAAGCATGAGGTCCTGTGTTTATTCCTCAGTACCACAAATAAAGGAAATGTCAGAGGAGAGAAGAGGAACAGGGAAGAAAAAACTGGGCATTGTAGTTCATACCTGTCATCCTACCACTTAGGAAGCTGAGGCAGGAAAATCATGCACTCAAGGCCAGTTTGGGCTACTTAGTAAGTCAAACACTCTAAAAAATAAAAATCAAAAAAGTTGAAAAAGAAAAAAAAGACAGGGACAGAATTTTTTCTGAGATATAGTGATCAAAAATTTTCCAAATTTGATGGAGAACAATTTGTACATCCCCAAAACTCAACAATCTCTAACCAGAATAAACAGAGATCCACACCTAGAAAAATGCTAAAGTATCAAAAGTAAAAGATAGAATTTTGAAATCAGAAAGAAAAAAACCACAATTACAAAGGATCCATAATAAGATTAGCAGCTGACTTCTCATTAACCAGAAGCCAAAATGAATAGAATGATACTCAAATCACTGAAACAAAAAGATGAAGAATTTTATATCCAGCAAAACTACCATTCATAAATGAAGGAGAAAATAAGAAATTTTCAGAAAAACAAGAACAGAAAATACCTCACAAGGAGAGCTGCTCTACAAGAAATAATAATAAAAAGATTACTTCAGGTTGAAATGAAAGGAACACTGGGCAGAAATTCAAATCCACATTAAAAATAATAGCATCAGGTTGGTGGAGTGGCTCAAGTGGTACAGCAGCACCAGCCTCAAAAGTGAGTTCAAGTCCCAGTACTGCCAAAAAAAAAAATCAGTAAAGGTATTTGTTTGTAATCCTTTTGTTCTACTTTGTCATTTAAAAGGTAACTACATAAAACAACAATAAAAGTGGAATGTTAAGGTTATAATGTATAAAAGTCTAATTTGTGTGACAATAGCACAAAGAAGCAGGGAAGTACCAAAGCTACATTGGAGGAAAGTTTTTGCATAACATTAAAATTAGGCTGGTTATAATGTAAACTAGATTGTTTTAAGATATTAACAACTAAAAACATGACTTAAAAAAAGTAATAAAAGGAACCTCAGGAGAAGTAAAATGATGTATTAAGAAACTACCAGGCTGAGGATATAGCTCAGTGGTAAAGTGCTTGCCTAGCATGTTCAAGGCACTGGGTTCAAGCCCCAGCACAGCAAAAAGGAAATAAATTAACAAAAAAGAAGGGATTAGTGGAAGAATAGGATCTAAGGCATTCAGAAAAGAGAAAAATGGCAGATATCAGTAATAATATTAAATGTAAATGAAATAAACACTCCAATAAGAAATCAGAGATGAGTTAGAGGCATGGCTCAAGCGGTAGAGAGCCTACCCAACAAGTACAAAGCCCCTGAGGCTTTGTACCAGTGGTTTGAACTCTAGGAGCAAAAAAATCGAGATGATAAATGGATTAAAAACATGATCCAAATATATATGCACTTACTATAAGAGACATGTTAAATATATATAAAAAATATACAAATAGGTTGAAGGTAAAGGATTGTAAAAAATAAACCATATAAATAATATCCCCCCCAATCTTAGTATTGTTATACTAATATTAGACAAAATATAAGAAGGGGGAGAGAAGGGAAGGCATGGGGGAGGAAGGGTGGGAAAGGAAGAAGTGAAGAAAAGAGGAAGGAAGACATATAAGGGAATACTATTAACTGTATACCAACAATTTATATAATGTAAATGACATGGACAAAGTTTTAGAACACAAACTACCAAAAACTAACTCAAGAAGAAATTAAAAAAATCTGAACAGACCTCTAGTAAATAAAACACAGGTAATTTTTTGTTTTTTTGTGGTACTGGGGCTTGAACTCAGGGCCTACACTTTGAACCACTCTACCAGCCCTTTTTCTTTTCATGATGAGTTTTTTCTAGATAGGGTCTCATGAACTACTTACTCAAGCTGACTTTGAACCATGATCCTCCTTGATCTCTGCCTCCTGAGCCACTGGCGCCTGGCTACAAGTAATTCTTAAAACTTCCCACAAAGCCCAAGCTGAGATGGTTTCACTGGTAATAGAATTTAACACCAACCTTTTCCAAACTCTTTTAAAAAGTCGAAAAGAGAGAACATTTCCTGACTCAGTCTCTAAAATCAATATTACCTTGATTCCAAAGCCAAACAAAAAAAAAATCCCAAGAAAACTACAGATCAATATGCACATGTAGTTATAAAT